GCGTGTTAGAGGGCTTACTTCTTCACCCTCCCATTCGCTTGGTCCTTCTCGCATGAATAGAGAGCACTAATACCCAAAGTCCAAAGGTGCAAACAATTTGATGTTTATTGGGGTGAACTTTCACCAAGCTTAAATCCAAGTTCCGTTTTCCTTATTTTCGAATCCCAACTTACTTCCTGTTTGCCCCTAATTTATATAGTAATAGTCTGTTATACCTTAACCAATCATTTTACTGAAACTTACCTAACCAATCTTAATATATTGTAACATGATTAGCTAACCAACTGTATCCCACCACCTTAATTAGTTTACACCCAGCAAAATTAATTATACAGCAGACAAACAATCACAGAACCAGACACAGACCATACAAATAAACACTAGCAAAGTAGGAACGATGACAAAACAAATTAGAAGTGAGGATTTCACAACTACATCTATAAAGACATAAGGGTTTCCTAACTATGTCTATTGATAAGTGACTTCCTACCAAACAGAAAACTATCAAACTAAATTTCCTTTTACATCTTCTAGGCTCTTCCCTTTATCTGGAGGCGATAGATCGGATCACCTTTCTAACAGCACCAGATTGCCTTATTTCAGTATGACTAGTTTTGGAATGCGAGCATGACACTATACACTTCCCAGCTTATGGCTGCCTCTGCTGCTTAACCAAAGGCTTTACCTTAAGAACAGGGCCTCAGACTGTCCCAGTGAGAGAAGGCCCTTACACAGGCAGACAGTGATTTTGATTCTTTCTTTTATTCCTCTATAACTAGCAAAATGATAAACATATACCTACATTCTTAAAGTATGGGCTGGGGTAGGCAACCAGCTCGTGTACCGCCTTTGGCATGCGTGCCACAGATTTTCAATGGCCCTCACAGTGCCTGGGTCCTGGCCACCAGTCCTGGGGGCTCTGCCACTGGCCCCTGCTAGCCGGGGTTCTGTCCACCGGCCCTGCTCGGCCCACTGCTGGCTCCAGGTCCCAGCCACTGGTCCCAGGCGCTCTGCAGCTGGCCTGAGGTGCTGGCCCACTGCCACCTGGGGTTCTGTCCGCTGGCCCCGTCAGCCTGCTGCTGGGCCCAGGTCCCAGCCATTGGTCCAGGGGGGCTCCACTGCTGGCCTGATGTACCGGCCGCTGGCCCCCTGCCAGCTGGGGTTCCGTCTGCCAGCCCCACTGCCAGTCCTGGCCACTGGTCTTGGGGGGGCTCTGCTGCCATCCTGGGGCTCTGCTCCTGGCCTCTGCCCAGGACTCTGCAGCCTCCCCCAGCTGTGGCCCTCTGGCCCCAGCCTGGGGCAGTGAGGGGTGCAGACAGGGCCAAGAGGGGGCACAGCTCAGCATGGATCGCATGGATTCTTATTACTGGCACGCGAAACCTTAAATTTTAGTGAATAAATGAAGACTCGGCACACCCATTTCTGAAAGGTTGCTGACCCCTGGTATAGGCCTTTGCAGACAGGCCTAAATATCTATATCCTAACGCGGGGCTATGAGGTCTCCATGCGCTAGCCTGGGACTTTTCTCTGGAAAGGTTCTGTTCCAGTTGGGTATGGACTTGTGGCTACTAAGCCTGTATATGGCAGGTGCAAGCTCACCTGCTGTAAGTAGGGTTTAAACTGATGGAAGTGTTAAACCAGAACAACTTATGTACACGTACGGGTGGGAATCCAAACCAAGTGCCTACTCTGGTACCTGCAGCATGCCATTACCTAGCTCTTTAAATGCCACTACACCACTGCGAGGAGGCTGGATAACAAACCAAGAAGAATTGCAATTCATAGAATCCTAGGACTGGAAGGGACATTGAGAGGTCATCTAGTCCAGTCCCCTGCACTCCTGGCAGGACAAAGTATTATCTAGACCATCCCTGACAGGTGTTCATCTAACCTGTTCTTAAAAATCTCCAATGACGGAGATTCCACAACCTCAGTCGATAATTTATTCCAGTGCTTAACTATCCTGACAGGAAGTTTTCCCTAATGTCCAACCTAAACAGCCCTTGCTTCAATTTAAAGCTATGGCTTCTACTCCTGTCCTCAGAGGTTAACAAGAACAATTTTTCTCCCTCCTTTTTGTAACAACCTTTTGTGTACTTGAAAACCGTTATGTCCCCTCTTTCTTCTCCAGACTAAAGAAACCCAGTTTTTTCAATCTTCCCACATAGGTCATGTTTTCTAGACTGGTGGCTCAAAACCTTTCTAGACTACTATATCCCTTTCAGGTGTCTGATTTGTCCTGTGTACCCCCAAGTTTCACCTCTCTTAAAAACTACTTGCTTACAAAATCAGACATAGAAATACAGAAGTGTCACCACATGATTACTGAAAAATGGCTTACTTTCTCATTTTTACCATATAATTATCAATTGGAATATACATATTGTACATTTCAGTGTATAGTATATAGAAAGTATGAACAAGTCATTGTCTGAAATTTTAGGGTGTGCTGACTTTGCTAGTGCTTTTTATATCGCCTGTTGTTAAAGTAAGAACAGGGCCTCAGACTGTCCCAGTGATAGAAGGCCCTTACACAGGCAGACAGTGATTTTGATTCTTTCTTTTATACCTCTATAACTAGCAAAATGATAAACATATACCTTACATTCTTAAAGTATAGGCCAGGGTAGATGATAGCTAGATGAGTTGCTGTACCCCCTGGAAAACCTCTGAGTACCCCAGGAGTACACGTATCTCTGGTTGAGAACCACTGTTCTAGTCCTTGGATCAGTTTGTTGCTCTTCTCTGGACTTTCTCCAGTTTGTCCACATCTTTCCTGAAATGTGGCGCCCAGAACTGGACACAGTACTCTAGTTGAGGCCTAAGCAGCAGAGTAGAGCAGAAGAATTACTTCTTGTGTGTTGCTTATAACACTCCTGCTAATTTGATCTGGTTGGTATTAGTGAAACCTGCGGGAATGATCTGCATGCTTAGGATGTTACAAACCAATGGTTATAACCTATTTAGTAGGAGGACTAAAATGGGCAAAAGGGGAGGGGAGCTTGATGTCAAAAAGGGCATTAGCTGTTTGAGACATTGATAACAGAAGAAAGTGACGGTGAATGCTTACGGATCAATGTCTAGCAGATAAAGCACAAGATGGGGTATTAGTTGGTGTCCCACCACACACTAGGGAACAGCCCACCACACACTAGGGAACAGGCTGACTGGCTCCTTACACACCTATCTGTAAAATGTAGGGAAAACACTGATCACGGGAGACTTCAAGTACAGTGACACATGCTGGGTCTCATGCTGCCTGTACTAAAAATCCTTGTGTTTCAGGGGGCACGGCTTGCTGCTTGGCCCCTCTTCCTCTTTAACATTTTTATTAATGACCTGGAACAAAACAAAATCATCACTGAAAAAGTTTGCAGATGACACAAAAATTGGGGGAGCGGTAAATGAAGAGGACAGGTTGCTGATTCAGAGCAACCTGGATTGCTTGATAAACTGGGTGCAAGGAAACACTGTGTGTTTTAATACAGCTCAGTGTAAACCTAGGAACAAAGAATGCAGGCCATACCTACAGGATAGTCCCCCAGCCTGGGAAGCTGTAACTCTGAAAGTGTTTTTTTGTGGGGGAGGGCTAATCGGCGGAACATGAACTCCCAGACTGATGCTATGGCCAAAAAAACTAATGTGACTCTGGGATGCATAAGTAGGGGCCTGAATTTCAATCTAAGTTACCTTAAAGGGCCTGATCTTCAGAGTCCTCTGCAGGTTCTGAAAATCAGGTATATCTAAGACATCTCCCACTGGATTCCTAAGGAGTGCAAATTGAACTATTAGTCACTACCGAAAACCTTGGCCAATTAGCTCATTTCCAGGTCACAGGAGTGAGCCCCATGGCAGGTTCCAGAGCAGAGAGTTGAAATCCCTGCTCCACTGATGCCAATTCACAGAGTACATTAGCTTGCCAAGTTTCATCTCAAACGGCTAAGCTCAACCGCTCTCTGTCCCACCAGGCCAATAATCCATGCAGCCACAAGAACCTGCAGCCTCCCCCTGCAAGCCAGTGGGGTCCTCTTGCCCTTCTGAACTGGCCAAAAGGAACCAGGGAGATCAGATATTAACTACAATCTGAAAGAAATTGGAGCTGGAAAATCCTACTGCATCTAGTAGGCTACCCCTCTGTCCATGCCCAATGGTGCTCGGCAGATTTCTACCAGCTTCCCCGGGAGACCAGAGCACAGCCTGAGACCTTGCTCCTGGCTCACATTCATCTGAGATTATTATGTGCTCCGCTTCATCCTATTACTTTTCAGCCTCACCTCAATCACAGTCCACATGGGCTGACATCTTCTAACACTGCCTGGGCTGTCACAGGCCTCACCTCTGTACATCCCAGCTCTGCTCTGCACCTTGCCCCACACTATGTTCTACACAGGCCCAAGGGGCTGGCAGTTCAAACCTTACAGCAGGCAGAAATAGGGAGACTGGTTTTACTGCCAAAATATCCATCCCTCCTCTGCTATTCATGGATCCCACACTGGGTCGGGTGTCTAGACAGAAGGGAGGGGAGGGGAGGGGTGCAGCAGTAATAGACAAGTTCCTCAGGTTTCTTCCCCTATTTGAATAGGTGCTCATAAGTTACTCACAGCCAATAACAAGGATGCCAGGTGCTCACTGAGCCACCCAGACTGGTAACCTTCAGTGAGCAGATTTGGTGATCATGAGCTATTTGCAGAATGATCATTTTGGCCTCTGTGCTCCAAAGTGATGGAAACTTTTAGGGGTTCTATTCAGTGGGGCCAAGCGGATTAGCCAAGGGAATGGGATATCTTGTTTCCATAACTAGCAGATAAAAGAAACAGATGAGTTGTGCCAAATGGATGCAGCTCCATGCACCCCCAGCCCCCAAGCTCATTTCCACTCCAATTCAGGGCCATCTCCAGAGCAGCACAAATGGGTGGAGGGGAAGCACCACTTTCCAGCTACGATGCAGGGGCCTGAAAATTCACCTCCACTCTGAAAGGCGAAGAAAGAACTCTGCAAGCTGTACCCGAGCGTGTTTTTATTAGAAAGCAGGACAGGTGGGGGGCAGGGTGCCTGTGGCAGTCACAGCTCGAAGGTGTAGGAGATGATGTCCGAGCAGCGGAGCAGCGCCTCCCTGTGCACGCCCAGCGGGGTCTGCAGGTCGGACACCTGGAAGTTCAAGATGTCTATGTCTGAGGCGTCGAAGAAGGCCGAGACATTGACTCTCTCGTACATTGTGAAGTGGATGGTGCGGCCAACCATGGCAAACAGGCTGCGCAGGTACCGCTCCCGCAGAGCCACGCGGCCCTGCTGCTCCCGCTCCAGATCCGCCTCGTTCCCACAGCCCACAGTGGAGATGCTGATGGGGCTCAGAGCCTGGTACCGAGGGGAGTTGGGGTCAAAGCCGCGGCTTGTGCCATCCGGCCCACGGGGCAGGCGGGTCACGCTGACTGGCACCTTCATGGCAGGCTCCTGGGGGCAAAGGCAGCAACATGTGAGCTGGCAGCACAAGTGCCGTGCTAGAGCAATGCCTTCCACAGACTCGGGATGTAAACAGCAGTTAAAAAAAGTAACCGTGCAACCGATTACAATTTTATCAGTTACACGTTTAACCGGGGAACTAGCGGTGCAGGGGGTGCTGCAACACCCCCACGTTTTACGTGGGGCCCTAACGCCCGTGCCTGGGGATGCTGGACCCAGGGGTCCCGGCTGCTGCCCCTGGGACAGCAGCAGCGTCCTGGGCTCCGGCCAGCAGCAGGGTTTAACGGTTAGACTGATGCTTACTGGCTAAACTTTTACATCCCTACCACAGACCTGCTTGGGAAGGGCAGGCCCCCGGCTGCCACCCACCCCTGCCTTCCCCGCAGAATTAACCCCTACGGGCAACCATCCTGATACACCAATCCCCCAGCCGCCACTCCCCTCCTCCCCCCAGAGATACCCCTACCAGTACCCCCCATACCCCCCCCGAGTAACCAACCCCAATACACCCAACCCCAGCTGCCACTCCCGCCTCCCCCCAGAGATACCCCTACCAGCACCCCCCCGATACAACCAGCACCCCCATGCCCCCCCGAGTAACCCACCCCCAATACACCCATCCCCCAGCTGCCACTCCCCCCTCCCACAGAGATTCCCCTACCAGCACCCCCACCATGCCCCCCCCCGAGTAACCCACCCCCAATACACCCATCCCCCCGCTGCCACCCCACCTCGACCCAGCTCCCTCCGGAGATACCCCATCCCCGATACACCCAGACCCCGAACTCCCAATTACCGCCCCCTCACCCCACCCTATAGCAGCCCCCCCTCACCCCCCCCCACTCCCCCGAGATCTCCCCGCCGGCCCCCAGGCGCCACCCCCCGCGCTCCCTAGGCTACACCCCGCTCGCACCCCGGCCGGTCCGAGTCAGATCCGGAGGCTCCGGCCCGGCCTCACCCTGCGGCGGCCGGTCCCGGGCGGCTTCCGGAGATCGATGGACTCGGTGCAGCAGCGAACAGAGCCCGGCCGGGAACACGAACCGCCCGTCTGGTTCCGCCCCCCGCGGCCCCGCCCAGCTCCCCCAGACCCCGCCCCCCGCCGCTTCGTCCCCCCCAGACACCAGCCCCCCCCCGCTCCTCCGACCCCGACACCTGCCCCCTGGGCCTCCGTCCTGGGCTCCCTCCGAGATGTGCCACCCGCCCTGCCCCCCCGACACCTGCCCCCTCGCACCTCCCCCTCCCCTCCCCACACCCCCCCCCCCCTCCCCCTCCCGACATTTCCCCCCCTGCTCCTCCCCCCCCTCCCACCCCGACACTCTCCCTGCCTCCCCCTCCCCTCCGATTGCCACCCGCCCTCTCCCCACACCTCCCCCTCCCCCCGACACCTCCCCCCGCCTCCGCTCTTCCCCCGACACCTCCCCCTCGCACCTCCACCCTCCCCCAACACCTCCCCCCAACACCTCCCCCTCCCCCCCAGACACCTCCCCCCGCGCCTCCGCTCTGTCCCCCGACACCTCCCCCTCGCACCTCCACCCTGCCCCCAACACCTGCCCCCCAACACCTCCCCCTGCCCCCCCCAGACACCTGCCCCCCGCGCCTCCGCTCTGTCCCCCAACACCTGCCCCCCACACCTCCCCCTGCCCCCAACCCTCCCCCCAACACCTCCCCCTCCCCCCCGACACCTCCCCCCGCCTCCCTCTTCCCCCGACACCTCCCCCCCACCTCCACCCTCCCCCAACACCTCCCCCCAACACCTCCCCCTCCCCCCGACACCTCCTCCCCTCGCCTACGCTCTTCCCCCGACACCTCCCCCTCCCCTCCACCCTCCCCCAACACCTCCCCCCAACACCTCCCCCTGCCCCCCCAGACACCTGCCTCCCCTCGCCTACGCTCTGCTCCCAGATACCTTCCCCCTGCCCCCCGACACCTGTCCCCTGTGCCTGCCCCTCCAGACACCTGCTCTCCATGCCTCCGCCATGTCCCCCCAGACACCTGCCCCCCAAGTCCCCCCAGAGGAGCCCTGCCCCAAGCCCCCGGTCACCGCCATAGGCGTGCCCAGCGGGTGTGGCGGGCGTGCCCGGTCACACCCTAATCAGGGCCGCCCCAAGCGCAAAAAAAAAAAAAAAAAAAAAAAAGGGCGGCCGGAGATGGGGGCGGGGGAGTCCGGGGTGGGGGGGCCAGCCCCTCTTCTCCGCCCTTGCTCTCCCCTGCGGGGCAGAAGCGTGATGGGGCTGCGGCCCGGGCTCGGTCCTGCTGCTCCGCGGCAGCCGAGCTCCCGCCTCTTCCCCCAGCGCGCTGCGGACTCGCCCGCACTCCGCTCCCTGCCGCCGGTCCGTGGCGTGCCGGGCAGAGAGAGGGGGAGGTGGAGAAGAGGCGGGGGCAGGGCCTCGGGGAAGGGGGTGGAACCGGGGTATACCCCCTCCAGCCCCCTTCTGTGAACCGCTCAGGGCAGGGGGCTGGGAGCACCCCCACCACCCCAGCCCACCACCCCCGTCACACACCCAGCCCTCTGCCCTGACTCCTGCAGCCCCCCCCCCGCCCTGACTCCTGCAGCCCCCACACCCCCACCCCACTCCCTGACTCCTGCAGCCCCCCACCCCACCCCACCCTCTGCCCTGACTCCTGCACCCCCCCACCCTGCCCTGACTCCTGCACCCCCCAACCCTTGCCCTGACTCCTGCAGCCCCTTACACACCCCAGCCCTCTGCCCTGACTCCTGCACCCCCCTCCTACACCCTGCTGTGACTCCTGCACCCCCGCACACACACCCCAGCCCCCTGCCCTGACTCCTGCACCCCCCAACCCCTGCCCTGACTCCTGCACCCCCTTGCACCCCCCACACCCTGCCCTGGCTCCTGCACCCCCCCCACACCCTGCCCTGGCTCCTGCACCCCTTTACACACCCCAGCCCTCTGCCCTGACTCCTGCACCCCCCTCCTACACCCTGCTGTGACTCCTGCACCCCCATCACACACCCCAGCCCTCTGCCCTGACTCCTGCACCCCCCTCCTACACCCTGCTGTGACTCCTGCACCCCCCCACACACACCCCAGCCCTCTGCCCTGACTTCTGCACCCCCCAACCCCTGCCCTGACTCCTGCACCCCCCCACACCCTGCCCTAACTCCTGCACCCCCTTGCACCCCCACACCCTGCCCTGGCTCCTGCACCCCCCCACACCCTGCCCTGGCTCCTGCACCCCTTTACACACCCCAGCCCTCTGCCCTGACTTCTGCAGCCCCCTCCCACACCCTGCCCTGACTCCTGCAGCCCCCTCCCACACCGCAGCCCTCTGCCCTGACTCCTGCACCCCCCTCCTACACCCTGCTGTGACTCCTGCACCCCCCTCACACACCCCAGCCCTCTGCCCTGACTCCTGCACCCCCCAACCCCTGCCCTGACTTCTGCACCCCCTTGCACCCCCAACCCCTGCCCTGACTCCTGCACCCCCCAACCCCTGTCCTAACTCCTGCACCCCCTCGCACCCCCACACCCTGCCCTGACTCCTGCACCCCCCCCACACCCTGCCCTGGCTCCTGCACCCCTTTACACACCCCAGCCCTCTGCCCTGACTTCTGCAGCCCCCTCCCACACCCTGCCCTGACTCCTGCAGCCCCCTCCCACACCGCAGCCCTCTGTCCTGACTCCTGCACCCCCCAACCCCAGCCCTGACTCCTGCACCCCCCTCCTACACCCTGCTGTGATTCCTGCACCCCCCTCACACACCCTAGCCCTCTGCCCTGACTCCTGCACCCCACACACCCCAGCTGGTGACCAATCCCCCCCATGCCCTGCTGTTCTCTGGCCCTTGCCTTGCTCCAGCTGGGGACCAATCCTTCCGTCCCCCCATCCCCACCATGCCCAGCTGTTAGGGTGGATAAAAATCAATGACTTTAAAAAAAATCAAAAAACATATCTAAAGATAGTTTTAATTAAGATACATTATATCTCATCATGCAATAGGGATTATGAATTCTAATTCTATAGTATGAGACAATATATTAATGTCATGTTTAAGAAAAGTTTTGTAAATGAGTTCCAATAGTTCATGGATTAGGGACCCAATTTTATGGGGTTCCACAGGCTTCTGTATAGATTATTTAGGTTAATCTTTCTATCTACCCAATGGGACTCAGTCTAGAAGATACCATCAGAAATGCTTAGTTTTGCAGTTGTATTATGTTGTACTATGCAATAAGCGCCGACTTGCATAATATAGATGTTGTAGAAATGTATAGAAAGCCCGTGTTCGCTCACAGCATGCGTCCCCACTACTGCGGCACCATATTACCATTGGTTCTCCCCTCCCCCTCCGACTACTATTCTAGAAAATTCTTTGAGCTATATAAGCGGCCGCGTCAGGCATGCCCAGCACAGTGTCTACAGTGTTTGTAATCTTTGTTGCGCGTACTGTACTGAAATAGCATAACAAGCCCGTGGCTTTATGTTTTAATTCAGTCGTATGATACCCCCTTTTAATTTTAAAATATGGATCGGTTCATTGTTAATATAAGAAAAGGAGCAAACTGAATTATAATGAATGTGCTGATAGAAGTGCAAATACCTTGGACTCCTCGGTTAAGAACTTACATGAAGATAATGCCGCCACCAGTTCCAGTGTGTGCAATAAACTGAGTAATGACCAACAGTAACAGACTTTGTCTCTTAGTTCAGGTCAGTATAGTTCCTATTCAAAGCCATCAAACATTCCATCTGATGACCCGGTCTGTGATATTCCAAAAAATAGATTAGAACGCCAGTCTCGATTATCTAGAGGTCCTTATTAGCCTAGATTGAGTATGTTTCCTAGAAGTAAAATAGGGAATAAACAAAGAAGCATTTATTGATAAGGGATTCAGAAACTGATATAAGGCCAACAAATGTTTTTAATACCACCGACTGTCAAAATCTCATGTGTTGAGCTGTTCTTCATGGTCAAGTTTTAATGAAGGGAAACCTATTGATATATTGTTGGATGAGGGCAAGCAGGATTATCTGTCTAAACAAGAAGAAGAACGGTGCCATAACCGAAGTGTAATGGAGCAACTGATTGACATTGTTCTGTGTTTGGTGAAAGGTGGGAGACCATTCAGGGGTCACAATGAAAAAGCTGACAGTTTTGAGAAAGGTTTATTTCTAAATCTTGTCAATATGCTCCAAAAATATGATCCCATAATGGCAAAGCATGTGCAACAATCTCCTTGAAACGCTACCTCTCTGAGTAATCGCATCCAAAATGATTTAATTGTAGCCTTGCACAGCATTGTGCAACAAAAGATTGTGTCTTCACTAAATGGAAAAAATGGTCTCAATAATTGCCAACTACACTACTGACTGTGGACACCATGAACAGATGTCCATTGTGGTGCGGTATTTTGACAATGAAAAACATAGTCCAGCTGAACATTTTGTGTCTGTTCAGAGACTATTAACAGTTGATGCTCAGTCTATTTTTGACCAGTTAAATGACGTCCTTGACATTCTTAAAATTGACTGGGCATCAGTGATGTCTGTCTGTTTTGATGGCGCGTCTACTATGTCTGGATGTACTGTGGGAGTTCAAATGAAATGTAAAGAAAGAAACAGTGAAATACTCTATGTACACTGCTATGTGCATTGTTTGAACCTCATCCTAGAAGATGCATGCACTGCTAGTAAACAGAACAGAACTGTCTTTGATTTTTTCCATGTTATTCAGACTCTTTATGCCTTCACGGAGGGGAGTCCTGTGCGACATGCAGTAATGGAGAAGATTTCACAAGAAGTAGGATCCCAGTTGAAGACTTTGAAGTCCCTGTCAAACACAAGATGGGCATGCAGAGCAGAAGCAGTGGCAGCTGGAAAGCAAAACTACTCCATCATTTTACAAGCTTTACAAGAGATTATCGAAACAACTCGCCTTGCTGATGCTAAAATAAAAGCCAGGGGCCTTATCCATGAACTAAATTCATTCAAGTTCATCTTTGCCCTTCACATGTTGCATCCTATTCTCCAGATGGTGGTAAAAGTGAGTAAGGCTCTTCAAGCTCCGGATCCAGGGCTGGCTCCAGGCA